AAAAGATAAAGATAGAGTAATCATCCATATCTCTGTTACATTATGTTTGCATAATACACGTACTCCTCCCGTTCCAAAAAATTCTTCCTCTTTTATTTTTTTGTTTTCCACAAAACACTTTCACTATCTATCAAAAACCACTTTTACCCCTACTTTTTCATACCCTACCTATCACATTATACTTTTTCACTAATAACCAAACTATCACATCTTACTTTAGCCCATCACATCAGGAGCAAAATGGGAAAGTCAACCAAAATTACACTTTCCTCACACTTATACTCTCAAATAAGAATTTTTGACATCATAAACTTATAATATACTCTCTCCGTCCCTAAATATTTGTCACACTTATTGTTAGACATTAGAATTCTATTCCTAGTAGAAGTTGTAATAGCTAGATATCTTCCTAGAGGAATCCTACTCATATTAGGATCTTCACATATATATATTCTCATGTATCCTCCTTTATTTCCTTGAATAAAATCTATTGTTTCATAAAATTCAACATGGTATCAGAGAAACAAGATCCTCTCTCCTCTCTCATACGTTAAACAAAAAAAAAACCAGCGGCTAGGGTTTCTGCCGAAGCAGCACCCTCACGCCAACATCATGTCTCTCTCTGACGATCCTATGGATCATTTACCCACCGGCCTCAAGCTGTTCGTTAAAAACCTCCAATCTCTCACTCCGGCGAAGCTTGATGACTCGAACTACCCCTCTTGGTCAGCAACCATTCGAGCTAATCTTCTGGCTCATCGTCTTCTAAGTTACGTGGATGGAACAGGATCCGCTCCTCCCCCTCTCGTTATTGACGGCAAAGCTGTAGCCTCCGGAAAAGAAGACTCGCCGGTCATGAAGGCAAATCCGGCATATGAGACATGGATGCTCATTGATGCTCAGGTACGTGCATGTTTATTAGCCATCGTCTCCCCCACTGTCCAAACACACATACATGCTCTTCCAACATCCGCCGCAATATGGACTCATCTCGAACAACGGTATAATTCCTTATCCCGCACTCACATCTTCCAATTGAAAGAACGCCTTCATAGTCTCCAAAAAGGGAGCGATTCCATGCAAACCTACCTTGACAATGCTTTGAACATTGTATCCTCGCTTACTCTGGCGCATGAAAATATCTCGGATCAAGACATCATTTTATGCATACTCCGTGGATTGCCGGCAGAATATAGTTCCTTGAAGCAGAACATC